GCTGGTGATCTGGCCAAGGTGCGAGACGTCGCCAAAAGTGCTAAAATTGAGGTTAACGGTGAAGAGATCGCGTCGACTGACTGCCTCATTCACCGAGGACCATTGCGTCCGGCTGAGGCGTTGTATGGTACAGCAAACTGGATTAGCCCTCCACTTTGTGCCTGTTTTTTAGCCATTCTCATGTTTCGTCTCGCCAGCCTGAACGGACGAGCGACACGACGCCATCGTCAGACGTCTTCTGCCCCAGCTCTGGCCGGTCATCGTCTACCCGAAGTCGTGGAGGCTAGCCAAAGTTTGATTAGTGGTTTGGAACGGCAACTCTATTGCCAGTCGGACGGTCCTTCGTCTCCATGGCGCCGGGTTCGCCAAGACGACAGCATCGAAGAAGCGGACGCCAATCGGCAAAGCGGAGGCTGGGAGCTGTTGTCTTCAAGGCCGCAGGGCCGGAAAGACCGAGCAGATGGGAGTGTCAGATGTTTGGGGCGAAAAGCGGCTGTATCATTTCTTTTAGCTCCATTTCGGATCTCGAAATGTGGACTCACGATCGTGTTTGGATTGCTCGCTTTTCTCGCCGCTCTGCCAGGACTCTTGCAACTAGCATTCTGCTCTTTTGCTCTTCTCGCCAGCTCCGACAATGTCGACAAACTTGGGTTGAGTCGAATTGCTTCTGACCTCAAACAGCCAACGTCTGAACAGCTTGTTTCAGTCGACTTCGCCTCGACTACCGACCGCGTGATTGTACAAGTGACTGGCTTCGCAAACGCTCTGCTCTATGCTCAGTACACGGTCAACTTTCTCTGTCTCCTGCCGATACCGCTGGTCTTTTTGGTCAAATGCTTTCGGACGGCTCAACCGATCCTCCTCGAAAGCGCTTCCATGCTGCCGACCTGTTTGAGAGAGGAGGATGATGAAAAAGAGGCGTCAGGCGACAGCCAACACGGTCCACAAGAGGGCAGCCAACATACCAATCGGGCCGAAATGTCTGTCTGGAATAGACAATTCATCGTGCCCTCGAGTGCCGCGTCAGCTGTGCTCAGTCTCCTCACGTATCCGCGCGACAATGAAAAGCCGACCGTCACCTCGGCTGCCTCTGGTGGTCATTTGGTGCAATTTGCAGAACCGATGAGACTGTCCAGTCACGCTGACGCCGGTCTCTTGGCACCGTCCCAGCTCACATCGGTCAACATGTCGGCCAGCTCGTTGTTGGAGTTCAATCAGTCTTCTCCCACCGCGGCGTTGCCGCTGCTCGCCTGCGGTGCATTCACCATTTGCCCATCCGTCAGTGGAGCTCCTTCCACAGTCGTGCACATTGTCGACCATGTCTGCCAACTTGC